GAGAGGTGGAATTCTTATGTAGCTAGAGTAGAGAAGTATTTTAGAGTGAACCAAATTAGACAAGATGGATTGAAGGCTGCAACCTTGTTGTGTGTTTGTGGGCAGGAAGCTTTTGAAATTGCAGAAAATTTGGTGGCTCCTGCACCCCTGGAATCAGTGGCATATACTGACTTAAAAAAGTTGTTAAAGGAACATTTCCAACCAAGGTTGTCTGTCATTGCTTGGAGGCATGCTTTTGAACTGAGGGACCAGAAGCAAGGAGAATCTGCTACAGATTTCATTGCAGCCTTAAGAAGAGCAGCCAGGCCGTGTGAGTTTAAATACTTAGAAGAGAGGCTGCGAGACAGATTCGTGTGTGGGCTAAGAAACAGAGACTTGCAGCAGAAGATTTTTGCTAAGGAAGAGGTTTCATTCCAAGATGTCCTATGAGAGGTTACAGCAGAGGAAGCAGCAGGCGGGGCTGTGAAAGCCTTGCGACTCACCAAAAGCTCTACAGAAATGGCTACAGTCCATCAAGAGGACATTCGAGAAGGATCGGACACAGATCTTGAAGAAGAGGTGAATAGACTTGTCCAGCCAGCTGGAAGGAGGCAGAAGGAACGTCTGGACAAGGCTCCAGCATCTCTTCAATGCTTTGGGTGTGGCAGTCGTCACAAGCGAGCCGACTGCAGGTTTTGTTCCACCATCTGCAGAGCATGTGGCAGGCAAAGTCACATAGTGTCCATCTGTTTGGGTCGACAGAAAGTCCAACCTCATGAAGAATTGCGTCTGAAAGGTACCAGGGTCCCAAACCAACATAGGGTGGGCTTCTGCGCATTGCGCAGGAGCATATTAAAAAAACTGTCTCTTAACATAAGGTTGCAGGGAGTTCCATTAACAATGGAGTTGGACACTGGGTCTGCTCTCTCCATTATTTCTAGTGACACTTTCAAAAAGATATGCAGCAGCAGTGGCCTTCGAGTTAAACTCAGGCCATCCAATTTAATACTCACAGATTTTCAGAAGTCTATGGTGTGTGTTAAGGGAGAGGCCACACTTAGAGTACAGTATAAGGATTTTGAAGGTCCCCTAGATGTGGTGGTTGTTGGGGGGTGAATGTACAAGTCTTATTGGACTCGATTGGTTTGAGGGCCTGGGAATCCAGGTGATTGGGCTGCACCATTTGCAAACGTTAAGCCTTGCAGAGGTTTGCAGGGAGTTTGCAGATGTGTTTAGTTCAGAGCTAGGATCCTACAAGGAGCTTCCCATTTTGCTGCGCTTAGATCCAAGCATCACACCCATCAGGGTTAAGTCTAGAAGGGTACCTTTTGCCCTCAAAGGGAAGATTGATGCTGAGCTGGACAAATTGCTCCAGCAAGGCATTCTGGAACCTGTGGACTCAAGCCCATGTGAAACCTCCATAGTAATGCCTTTAAAGGCTAATGGGGACATACATATATGTGCAGATTACAAGTGCACACTGAACAAGGCATTACAGCAGCATGCTTACCCAGTACCTGTGGTGAGTCACATCCTGGCCTCTCTCAAGGGGGGGGGGTGTCGTATTTTTGCAAAGTTTGACTTGGCACAAGCATATCAACAGTTGCCTGTTGATGAGGCAGCTGCAGAGGCACAGATTATTGTGACCCATAGAGGGGCATTTAAGGTAAAGAGACTGCAATTTGGGGTAAATGTAGACCCTGGCATATTCCAAAGTGTCATGGAAAGCACACTTTGAGGTATTCCAGGGGTCTGTCCATACTTTGATGATGTCCTCATTGCTGGGGAATCATCTCAGAATTTAACTGAAAGATTAAGGGCTGTCTTGCTTCGTTTTCAAAAAGCAGGCCTCAAACTAAAGAGAGATAAATGTAAGATAGGAGTTACTTCTATTGATTTCTCAGGGTTCAGGATTGATGCTCAAGGTATCCACCCTGCTGAAACTAAACTGAAGGCTATTCAACAGGCCCCAAGCCCTAAGTCTAAGACTGAGTTGCAAGCCTTCTTAGGATTACTAAACTTTTACCATGCATTTCTCCCACACAAAGCTGCTGTGGCAGAACCATTACATAGGCTCCTAGACAAGCAAGCCCCGAGGACTAAGGTACATGAAAAGAGTTTCAATGAGGTTAAGGCCTTGCTTACTTCTAATGCTGTTTTAGCTCATTTCAATGAGCAACTGCCTGTCTGCATCGCATGTGATACATCCCCTTATGTTGTTGGAGCTGTACTCAGCCATCTGCAGGCTGATGGAACACAGGTTCCATCAGCATATTATTAAAGGACTCTGTCTTCTGCTGAGCATAATTATGCTCAAATTGACAGAGAAGCTCTGGCCATAATGGCTGGCATTAAGAAATTTCATGATTTTTTGTATGGCTGCTTTTTCACGGTCTATACTGACCATAAGCCTCTGCTGGGGTTGTTTACTACCAACAAACAGACCCCGCATACCATTTCTCCTCGTATGCTGAGATGGTCCATTTTCCTGTCAGCATATGACTATACATTCACACACCCAACAAAGATAGCAATGATATATATACTAAAATATTGAGAAAGTTTGAAAGAGCTTCTCTTGGATAACCAGTTTGTACTGGTCCATGACTGCAATAAACTGAACTGTATTGAATGGGATGCAATTGTTTTATTCAAGTATGAGGGAAAAATCATTCAGATCAATAAGAAGTAAGATATTGTACCTTTCTTTGCAATTTCAAGAAAAACTGAAGGTTAAAAAAAATTGTAAAAATATTTCACAGAACTTAATTTTGGTATTATTTTGAGCATAAATTGAGACAATTGTTATTTTCCAGATTCAGTCTGAAAGCTTAATATTATAAGTCTTCCTTCCTCAACTTGGACTTGTTTCTATAGAGATCATAAGTTTTCATATATATAACTCCTCCACATTTTAAAAAATTGAGGTCATATATTTTTGATGGAGATGTTTACATTCCAACAGATTGACATTAGTACTTTCAATGTATATCTGTTGAAGGCACATAACATGAGCGTTTTCAGATTTAACAATCTGAAATCCCTTTTAAATAAACTATTCAACCTGACAATCCAGCCACAAGGTGTTCTTATCAATCGCTTATCCCAGTTAAACATCTAGCCTGGTAACACAACTAGTTGCCTGTTCAATATACCTTTTCAAGGGTTATACATTTTTGAACTTTCTCTCAAACTTTTATTTGACTACATAAAATCAGTGATCTAGTATTTTTTTCCAGTTTTTATTGGAACAAAAACTTAAGCCTTGCAAGATATTCAACCGAACTTGACAGTTGCAGCTTTTTCCATCTTGAAATATCTGCCATTCTATTCCACCAAATCTATGAATAACTGTCCCTGAATAAATATTTCTTATTTTTTATGAAATAAATTCTCAGTAATACTAAAAATTATTGTTTCCTATTGATATTGCTATTATATCCCAAAGGTCATACCCTGCTTCCCTGAGGCTGTGGCTGATGAGTACTGGATTTTTTGGGTGTGAGGGATTGTTGATTCTAGGGACCTTTATCTTTCTAATCCCAGCTTCCTGGCTTCAATCTTTCTGACCAGATTATCACATCTGCATTTCTGCAGACCTGGTTTTTGTTTTGGGCAGAGAGACTGGGGTGGTGATGGTTTCTGCCTTTAAGACCCTTTGGGGAAATATAATATTCTGCCTTTTAATATTCCCAAAAATATTTCTTTCTTGGGGGGACTGATTTCTCACAATCTCCCCTTTATGCCATAAGAGTGTGAGTGACACACTTTTACTGGCACAAGATTAAAAATTGATCTGGTCAGGGAGACTTGATAAAGAAGCTTTTAAACTCTTAATGCAAAAAGGGAAGACAGTAATAGATGCAGCAGAAAAAGATCCCTGCAGTGGCTCCCAAAAGGGAAGCTTCCAACCCATAAAGGTCTAAAAGTCAGGGCAAAAGTTCTGTTAGATGGAAAAAAAATTTATAGTGTCGAATATTCTATGCCAATTATTTTCACATGTTGGATGTCACTTTCAGCTTCCAGTCAGGTCTGCACATGCCTCCCAAAATTCTTCACAGCTGTGTTTTTCCTTGGTACATAACCACTGGCTGCCCATTTTCAAGGGTTGCTTTTTGAGCCTGCCTTAGCTCTTAGTTTAGTGTATCCAGGTTTGTGATGTCCAACTGAGGTTAGCCAGTGTGCAAGCCAGGCTATTAATCTTTCTTATATTGCACATAGTGAGCCCTAGGTATCCCACTCTGAGTCTACCAGTGTAACATATTCTGGGCTTGGGTTTTGAAGATCTTTTTCCTGCTACCACTACAACGAGAGCATATGAATTGCAAAACACCTGAGGGGGCCTGGTTCCCTCCCCCTTGGAATTTTCAGGAAGTTGTGCATGCATAGCTTTAATGCCACAGGGCAAAAACCAGCCTAAGGTGCTTTATTGAAGGTAGGTGAAGAAGGGGGGGGGGAGTAGCTTGCAGGTAGAGTTTGAAAAGGCATTAAGGTTAACATTGCAGATGTTAAATAGACAAATAAAACCCATTTAAACACATACAGTAAATGCAAGAATGAAACTTTTTTGTGATGAACTTAAAACATTCCCTCCTAACAAGGGAAGGCCAAAGGGAACTCAATTCTCTTCATCCTATTTTGCTGGCCAGGCAAATAGGGTTAGAATATTTTCCTTTTGGTGGCTTATTTTAACTTTTGTTTTTCTTTTCCTAGCAGAATTTAAATTTTTTTTTCTCTAGGGATTTAGGTTTAGGGACTTTAACAGTTAAAATTTACCTAATACACAAAGACCTTGACCCATGTATACATACACACAAAAATAAGGGAAAGAGACCAGCATAGGAAACAGAACTCTTAGTTGTATACATCCTAGTCATTCCCACCATAAATCTCAGTTAACTCAAATTACGGAAGGCACAAATCATAAACATATTATGTGGTTGCATAAAAAAAAAAGAGAGAGAGAGAGAGAGAGAGAAATCACTATCCCTATATTTTATTTTCCTTTTCCTTTTAAGTACCTTTATTTAGCCGAACTGGTTTTTCCTGCTTCATCCCTGAGCAAAGTCCACTCCTGTGTAACTTGCGCACACGCTTCTTACACATTCCCGCCTGGATGGGCAATTTGTCCCAGTACCAGGCATCCATTAGCCTCCTTAAAGGAGACCTCAGTGGGATCCTAGATCTTGAACTTCCCATGCTCTTTCCCACCGTCTGTGATGAGACTACAAGGATTTCTCCTTGGTCCCTTGCAACCTGCGGAATACACTGCCTGTGGAATACACTGCCCCCAACAGCCAGCTTCCTGGCTCCAAACTTTCTGACAAGATTATCACATCTGCCTTTCTGAAGACCTGGTTTCTGTTTGGGGCAGAGAGACTTGGGGTGGTGGTGGTTTCTGCCTTTAAGATCCTTTGGGGAAATATAATATTCTGCCTTTTAATTTCCCCAAAAATATTTCTTTCTCTTGGGGGGGGGGGAGGAACTGACTTCCCACACCTGATAAATTGCTAAACTTTTATATCAGCATGAGTATATTTTGGCAAAGAACATTCATAGTTGTTAATCATCAGGTGTACCTTTATCATTGTCTTATAGGGCCTCTTCCAATCCATTATGTGCAAAATGGGTAGGGTCCTGGGTCCAGGTGGAAGATTTTGGGAACTGTTACTCTGGGAATTACCCATTTTGAAAAGGAATAAAACTGTAAGAATGAATAGCAATAATAATAAAACAAATCCAATCCAAGCCATTTCCTTTCAGAAGCAGTTTTCAGTAACAGTTAGAATGAAATCTGCAAACAGAAATGATACAAACATGTATTTCAAACTATTGCCCTAAGCAGAGCCCAGTGCCTACTTCTACTGAATCTTCAGTCTGCCCCTTACGCTGAATCACTTCCAACCTTGCCTTGGCTACTTCCTGTCTAGGAATTTGATCTGTAGTTGATTGTTTACCACTCACTATGATACTTTCGTGGGTGGTGCCTATCCTTAAATGAAAACATTGCAAAACAGGTTTAAACTCATTTAAACTGCACTGCAATCCGATACTTGGAACATCTTTTAATGAATATACATTGGATTACAAAATCCTCTTGCTTATTAACAATATTTCAGATAAGGAATTCAGCAAATGGAATCATTTAGTCCAGAGGGTAAAACTGCTGGCCCGCGGGCTGGATGCGTCATGCTGAAACTGCACCAACCCCATTACCAGCAATGAAAAAACATTGTGACACGTCGTGACATGTCATGTGACATTGCGAGTTTGACACCCCTGATTTAGTCTATTAATTAATACTGGATCTCAAAAGCTGACATACCTCCTTGAGTTCAGCTGATTCAGCTGATATTTTCACACTGTTATAGAGAATTTCCCATATCTGTCCAATCAACTGAGAAAGAAGTGGGGACATTTTTTTTCCATTTTCTGCTTGATCTGTTACTTCTGTCACACAGTTTTCTGAGATGTAATTCCTCTTTGCTTGGATCACTCAGATATAAAGACATTTTCTAAGATGTTCTGCTACTGAAACAAAAACCCAGTATTTGAATTAGTGGCTTATTGGGCATTTCCGTAGGAATGAGCACTAAACAGTGGTGATGCATTGTGGATCATCATAAATGTGGATCATCTAGAGAACTGGACATTTTCCCAAGCATGTGAATACAAACAATGTAACTTCCTGCGTCCACCTTACCTGTTTCTTTAGTAAACTCCGGAGCATAATCTAAATGAGATCAATTAAGAGAGTTGGTTTTCCTTCTCCATAGGAAATGGCTTGGATTTCTAGAATGTAGGCATTAAAGCTGATCTGATGTGATTGATTGATTGATTAAAGGTAACAGTCTGCCTATCAAAAATATTTTCTGGGCATCTGACAGATAGAAACAAATGAAAGGGGAGCATTTTTGCTACTTTGACTCTCCTAATCAAATATAGAGAACGCTTTGCAATAGCAGTTGAGATTCAAATGTTTTTGGTCAAAAGAGATTATTTTAAACTGATTTCAACAAGGACTGTTTCATGGCTGAACATGCTTAGTCACTGTAATTTAGCTAAAATTGCAAATAGTGAGAGAAATTCATTCTATTTATTTCTATTGAGCTTGTTAATATATTTCAATAGGCGAGGGAAGAATTTTATTTACTCATTCATTCACTTATAATCCAGTGATCTTCAAAATACTTTCTGTTTGCACTATATAGCAATTAATTATTTTGTGTGAAGTTTCATTTTTATCTGAGTCTTCTGCCAATGTAAGCTGAGATATTTAACTGGGAGTTGAATTATTTAGAAACCCATCATTTCACATCTGATGTGAAATGTGAAGGTTAATAGATGTGATGCAGGAAGCACTGAGGGTAGCAATCAATCAATGAAAGGTAATGATACATTTGGCCACAATTTAATCTGTCCTGATATTTTTGAACCAAATGTAATTAATAATCTTTTATGTAAAAGAAGCTATGGATTAAAGGCATTTTACACCTGCAATATAATGTATGATATCTTGTTCTTATAAAAATATTTATATCAACAAAATTGTTTACCAATAGATTGTAAAGTCCTGTTATATAAGGACCATGTACTACTGGATTGGACCCCTGTCCAATCTAGTCCAACAGTCTGTTTTCACAATGGGCAACTAATTGCACAAGGAGGCCCACTAGTCTCTCAGGACATGGTCTTTTGAGGCAGTCAGACCTACATGAATTGAACCAACCCTTTTTTGAACACAGCCAGACTTATAATCAGCACTCATCTCATGGTATCACATTCTAAAAATTAGTTGCATATTGAATAAAAATTATTTTCTTTTGGAGACTCCTCCCCAAGATGGATGCTGAACAGTAAGGAAATTTCTCTCTCTTGCCAACAATCTGCTGATTTTGCTGCTAAAGCTGATTCTTTGGCAGCATTGCTCCCTGGTTATGAATGGGAGCATGTAGGAATGACTGAAGAGAGCTATCAGATGACTGTGGACCCACTTGGGAAGAGGGATCTTCTGCAGTTTCCTGTGGAAGTGGTCAAAAAGTCATCAGTCATTCATCTTTCCTCTTGGCAGTTTGTTTTCTTAAGTATGTCTAAGATTTAACTTCACTTCTATTTTTCTTCGCTTCTTCTCTTTAAAAGTTGACAGACTGATTGAATGCTGATTTATTATAACCCCCTGATAGACTTTATCTGGGTTTTTTCTTTCTTTCCTTTGATCTATTTTCTTGTTTTGAATAACTTTTATTTTTCCATAAGGAAGTCACAGTTCGTTCCTGGGTAGTGAAAATGCTTTCACTTGATTTTGCATTTTTATTGGACATTCATTACAGGGATTTTTGTATTTTATTAATTTGCAAAAAGTTTGGAGCTTACTTTTTTAATCTTTCTTTTAACTTTGGATCAAGATATCCAGAAAATATCTTCTCTCTTTCTCTATTTTTGTATTCTGATGGATATTACTTCAACCTTTCTTGTTTCTTGTCTTTAAAGAATTCTCTTATCTACCATTGCTAAGTTACATAGAGCAACAATGTATCAGATTACAGATAAGGAAATATGACTGGCATCTGAAAAAAGAATACTTGGTAACATGCAATCCCAACTTGAAATCTTTTTTAAAAGTTGGATGAAATAATAATGGCTGCGGAAAATATTCAGATGCAAGTAAATGCAGATAAATTAGATTCACAAAAGGAATGTGGTCTGAAAGTAGTATATTCGTTGGAAAGAAATATTTCTTGAACTAGTGACTTATTGGGCATTAGCATAGGAAGCATAGGGTGAGGATGGAGTGGGGGGGGAGGTGGAATCAATTATTACTCAATCAACCACCTCCATATGGACCTTACAGACTTAGAACTAACTGAATTGACTGCACAAGCCTCTCTAAAGTTCAACAGCAGAAAACTGACTGAGTGGGTAAGAGATAAATGGGTCTTCCTTATGAGAATTAAAGAAGATTTCTCACACTTAGATTAAGTGGATTTATCACACTTAACTGGAAACCAATTTCATTTAGATTTTTTTGGGAAAATAGATCAACTTCGGAGATTGGACTTATTATATTTAACCATACAATTGTTGTTAAGAGATGGTATTAAGAAGCAAACTTGGATATTTGATACAGGATGAATCAGTGTGAACTCTTGGGATGATTTGGGATATATAAGAAACATGGTAAATTTTCTATGAGTTAATTACAATAGCAGTTTGTTAATAGAGGGTTTTGAAACTTTAATCTTGCCTTTTTAATATTGTTATTGTTCTTGTAGGAGGTGACCAGATTGAGCTCGAGGAAAGGGTCAAATGTGTCGTCAGTCTAGAGTCCCTTCATACCCATAAGAGATCTAAGTCCAGGCCACCTTGAATTCCATTGACTTTTATCTACTGCTAATTTGCCTTCACCATTAGTAGTTCAGATTTATGTAGAAAGCATAACCTTGCAATAAATCTTTATATTCATTTGAATTGCTTGGACTTTTGATTTTCTGCACTTGACATTAATTTGAACTACTCCCTTCTTCACCATTCTTTTTCATGGACTCTGGAATACCCAAGTCATGGCTTCAAACCCCAGAGCTGGACAAGCCAGATGTACACTCTCTCAGCAGGTGCCAAGATGGCATGAAAGACTAAATATGGAATTTAGCAGCCAGTTTTCATCAACTGATTCAGCAAGTACACATCCTGACTCAACAACCACAGCCACCTGCCTCACCTGCCCAGGCACAACTGTTAGTTCCTGTTGCCCTTATCCTCAGGACTCCCAGCTGCGTACCATAGTGATTCAACAGTGAATGTGATAAGATGAGAATATGAATTGCAAAGGAGGGTGCCGAGTATGAAGTATGCCTAGTATGAAGTATGCCCTTCATCGTCTATTTGCAGACAACAGTTGGTTAAATTAAATTTTCCACAGACCTCTCCTTCTTCTGCCAATAAATAATCCAAGGCTAGCCTATTTTGATAAATTGCAGTCCTCATTTGGGTATTTTGTTTAGCCAACTTATTTAATACTGGTGCTGTCTCGTTAGTGATAATCTCCAGAACAGTTTGTAACCTAATAATGCAATTCAGCATATAAATTGGAGCCCTATATCCCCATGATCCATCTTCAGTCCAAGTGGCAGGTCCATACACCTGTATTATACATTCAGGTGGCCATTCATTATCCTTCCAATTTCCAATTTTTAATGATCATTTTCTCCTAGCTCCCTTCTCCTCATATACTGCTATTCCAAGTTTTTCCCCTTGAGGAATAGGAAGTAAGAAAAAGCTAGGCTTTATATTTCCCAATATGCATGAACCATACCAATTGCTAGGTAGGCTGGTATATGCAAATTTTCCACATATCTAATAAAATCCGTGCGGGGCAAACCATTCTTGGGATGCATTGTCCCAAAGCCCCTGTACAACCATGTTATTAAAAGGATTCTGTTCAATACTGTGCATGGTTCCCCAATTCTGAGTACTTGAGTCCCCGTAAGATCTCTGGCCCTCACATACCATGGTTCCTACTTCCTCTTGGTTCTCGGAGCAATTTCTCTGAAAGCAGAAATGACCTATAATGGAGGTAGTTAAAGTCCATTTTTGACTTTTCTTTGTTAATTTAGTAGTCCAAGTGGACGTAATGTTAGTGTCTTGGATATCAATTTCTTTAGCTTCCCAAGGCCACTGTTCCCCCATATTTGTTCTACCACATACATAATAATTCTTTACTCCCAGGATGGTGGCTATCCTTTCAGCCAGATCTATAAATAGATTTTTGGTGAGAAAAGTGAGTCCCCAGGTATCAGGGTGATCGGCCTTTTCAAGCTCCTCATAAAAGCAGTGGAATAATTTACTTTCTATTGGGGTCAGATTTTTCCTTGTTACCTTAACGGTGATGCAGGTGCTCGGGTCCTTTCCCAGACTCTCAATTCCCAATCCATATTCCTGTGATCTTTCATCAGGATCCATAAAATGCAAGCATGTGGGGGTACAATGGTCTTCTAAACCAGTGGTTCTCAACCTATGGGTCGGGACCCCATTTGGGGTCGAACGACCATTTCACGGGGGTCACCAAACAAGGCTGTCTGCCATTTTCCCCCCTTTTCTTTGGCCACGCCCCTGGCACCCGGTGATGTATAAGTGGTTGGGGGTCACCACAACATGGGGAACTGTATTATGGGGTCGCGGCATTAGAAAGGTTGAGAACCACTGTTCTAAACAATCAGATTGTCCGACCCCCTTGGTTAAATTAAACCAACTGCTCTTCTCTGTCCACACCCTAGGTGGGCCCCTACCATTGGAGTACCAATATGTCTGGGAAACCACCTAGGAGCTTCCTCTCTGTTGTTGGTTGTAAACGTATATCCTTTGTGTAAGGTAATTCCGCTGCCAACTCAGGCCCCCACAGGTGGTCCAGGGACTAAACTTCATGGCATAGCAGGCATCAAAGCAGATTCTACTCTTGTGATTAGCAGAGATACTACTCTTGTGATTAGCAGAGGTGTTCTGTTCTAATAATAATGATGTTAGATTCTTTCCACTTTGAGAGGTAAATATCTGAATGGTTTTTTGATATTTCACACTAGAGGGGTCAACGTATGTAACCCTTCCTGTTTCATTACACAGGGAAAATTGAGTGGTATTATGAACACATGTTCCCACCACCTTCTTGCAGTCCATCTGAGTATGATATGTCAGAGTTTTGGTTATCTTATTACCCATTTTGGTGGTTCTAATTACAGTTATCAGAGGTATTTATACTTTGACCTTTGCATATGTTTCTGGACCCTACTACTCCCACTATAATCCATATCTTAATTACTCCTGTAACCAAGGTCATATTGAGGTCTAACATTGTCACAATTCTGTCCACCCCTGGAAAAGTACTTCTTCCCTTTCAATTTTGACACCACTGCCTGTAACGGGCTGAGATTGGTACTCGGGACACCAGTCTTCGATGATCACTATATCACACTCTTCTCCGCAGTCTCTGTATATCGGTGAGCAGTCTGGGCAATGGGTACAACAACAACAATTACACCAACATTTACAGTCACAAAACCAACACATTTAACCCTCCCTTTTTCCTAATGTCTCTATATTTTGCTTTTTCTTATTATCAGCTTCAAAGGGTCAGGTTGAGGCACACTTCCCACTTGGTTGGAGCGTCCACTGGTCCTTTCACATGGGTGTAGTGGGTCCAGCATTTCCCTGCTGTTCATACTGCTGTTTCGGATTTCAGCAGCACCTGGAAAGGGCCTTCCCACTTCGGAACCAGCTTCTCCTCCTTGCAACTCCAGATCAGCACCCAATCTCCAATCTGGAATCTGTGGACTAGAAACTCCAAGAGAGGTGTTTGTGCCAGCAATCCTTGTTTCCTGAGAAAATCAAAATATCTGGACAGTTTATGCACATATTACTTCCAATAGTATTTTAGAAACCATATTAGTTGTTGCATTACTACATGGGTACTACATGGGTAGTAAAATCTACCTGAATGCACTGAAATGGCCTAAGGGCTGGAGGCTTCCCTCCAGTGTTGAATTCCAATTCCTTCTTAGGTAATTTTTTTTTATTAGTGTGTCCTGCACACAGACATAACAACCTAAAAAAAATAAAATAAAACTAACAATAAAAACCAACTCCACACAAACAAAAAATCTGAGTTAGTGAAATAGTTTTGTATCAAACTCTAGTATCAACTCTTTGCTTTTAATATAAATTTAGTCAAATTCTAATTTAATCAGATTCCATTCAGATGGAAACAAATTTCCATTAAGTAGGTTAAAACTTTCCCATCCACCCCTCCTTCCTCAAACCAGAATTCTAAATAAAAAAATAGTTAAAAAGATCAAACACCCCCCACACACACTTTTCTTTCTGTCTCTCTTTCTCTCACAACACAGCTAGAAAAAGCAGAGGTTTTTGTGCCTGCAGACAGAAGTTGAAAAGGCATCCTGCCTGAGCAGGGGGTTGTATTAGATGACCTCCAAGGTTCCTTCCAATTTTATTATTCCTGCTAACTTAGGGCTGTTCTTAAGAGTATATATATATATGTGTGTGTGTATGTGTATATATATATATATATATATATATATATATATATATATATATATGGTCTTTGGTTGTTCGGGTTTTCTCCCACGTAAAATTGGAAGTGTCTTGGCGACGTTTCGACGAAGTCCCATTCGTCATCTTCAGGCTGGTGCTTTCAGCTTCGTGCCTCGAGCAGCAGTGTGTGGTCTTGGCTGTTTCTTCCTTTTAACTGCCAGTGGAGGTATGAACTGATTGGGTGGGAGCTTGGCTGTGTTCTGATTGGGTGGAGGTGTGTTCTGATTGGTTAGGGGCTTGGCTGTGCTCTGATTGGCTGGGGGGTTGGCTGTGCTCTGATTGGCTGGGGGGTTGGCTGTGCTCTGATTGGCTGGGGGAGTGTTCTGTTTGGTTGTGCTCAGGTTAGTCTGAGTTGCAGAGGGATTCAAGATTTTGGGCTGCCCTGCCATTCCTTGGCTTCGCGTTCGTGGTCGTGCTTCCTCTTCATGGAGGGTGTCAGTTTGCTTCATGTATGGATTGGGGGGGTTTAAAGTGGCTAATGATGCAGCTGTGGTCTGGCTTCTGGTTTGTGGTCGTGCCTCATAGTCAGTGTGGCTTTGGGTTTGTTTTTTGCGTGGATGTTTGGTGGTGACATCCTGTGTGGTTTTTGTGAGTGTGGGTCTGGTATCATTTTTTGTGTTAGGGATTCATTTGTCAATGAGGGCGGGTTTCCAAATGGCTGGTAGGCGGGAGGTATCATCTCGCCTGTTCATGCTGTGTGGGCGTTTTTCTATCTCGATGGCTTCTCTGATTATTCTGTTATTAAAATGTTCACTTTTGGCAATGGTTCTGCAATGTAGCTACAGGACATGAAATTGACTTTAAAAATACCAGAACCATTGCCAAAAGTGAACATTTTAATAACAGAATAATCAGAGAAGCCATTGAGATAGAAAAACGCCCACACAGCATGAACAAGCGAGATGATACCTCCCGCCTACCAGCCATTTGGAAACCCGCCCTCATTGACAAACGACTCCCTAACACAAAAAATGATACCAGACCCACACTCATAAAAACCACACAGGATGTCACCACCAAACATCCACGCAAAAAACAAACCCAAAGCCACACTGACTATGAGGCACGACCACAAACCAGAAGCCAGACCACAGCTGCATCATTAGCCACTTTAAACCCCCCCAATCCATACATGAAGCAAACTGACACCCTCCATGAAGAGGAAGCACGACCACGAACGCGAAGCCAAGGAATGGCAGGGCAGCCCAAAATCTTGAATCCCTCTGCAACTCAGACTAACCTGAGCACAACCAAACAGAACACTCCCCCAGCCAATCAGAGCACAGCCAACCCCCCAGCCAATCAGAGCACAGCCAACCCCCCAGCCAATCAGAGCACAGCCAAGCCCCTAACCAATCAGAACACACCTCCACCCAATCAGAACACAGCCAAGCTCCCACCCAATCAGTTCATACCTCCACTGGCAGTTAAAAGGAAGAAACAGCCAAGACCACACACTGCTGCTCGAGGCACGAAGCTGAAAGCACCAGCCTGAAGATGACGAATGGGACTTCGTCGAAACGTCGCCAAGACACTTCCAATTTTACGTGGGAGAAAACCCGAACAACCAAAGACCTACATATATATATAGTAGAGAGAGAGAGAGAGAGAGAGAGAAACAAACAAACACATCTTTCTTCACTCTTTTTGTTGGCCAGACAAACAGAGTGAAAATATTTCCTTTTGGTAGCTTTCACATTTACCTTACAAAAACTTTGATACACATATACATACCAAGACAAGAAAAAGAGAACAGAAAAGAAAACAGAACTTTTAGTTCTATACATCCTGGTCATTCCCACCACAAATCTCAGCTAACTCGAATGAGAGAAAACAAGAATCTTAAACATACCATGTGATTGCACAGAAAGATAGAGAGAAAAAGATAATCACAACTTCTTATTTTTCTTTTAAGTACTTTTATTTAGCCAATTCCATTTTCCTAACTTTGCTTTGCTTACAGGAGGACCTAACCAGCTGGTTACTCAAATCCAATTCTTTCATTCACCCATTCCATTCCATTTGCACACAGCCTTTCCCTTTTCCCTAACAAAAGGTCCTGCGCTCTGGGGTCCATGCTTCCAGGGTCTGACACTCCAGCAGATCCTTTCTGCGGCTAGGAAAGACCAGAAGGAGCAAAATCCAATTGTGATTGGGGAAAAAAAAGTTCTTCTCACTCACACAGAGACATACACACAGAGACATACAATCTAATGAGACCACGGTTCACTTCACCAAACCTCTTTCTCCTTTTACTCAGGAGTTCCCTCACTCTGCCTTGCCAGTCCAAACCCTCAGGGCATCCACAGCTTGTGTATGTCTTGCCAGTCCTGTGGACCCTCGGGGCATCTTACACACACCTCTCATAGATCTCAGACTCAAACTGTGCTACCCAACCACTCCCGACCACCTAGGTTTTATTCCTTGGTTTACCCCAAGTTTTACTCACCTAGCTTCGTGCACGAAGTTGCCAGGTCCTTGTCCTGGTAATTCTCTGGTCCTCTCTCCTCAGTTCTTACCAATCACTATTTGGTCCATGGGCCTGGCTCTGTTCTGCTTCCTTGACCTGCGACTGCAACTTTGGACCATTGAAATCAATGGGGCATGCCTTCCTCAGCTGATCTCGCCCCCCGAAGATGCAGTAACAGATGCCCAAGGCCCCACGTTGGGTGCCAATTTGTTGGAAACGTGATTAAAATACCAACAAATTTGGATTGGTAAGAAAAAGAGTTTATTCTGCAGAAAATAGAAAAGCAGTTTGCAAAGCGTGATGGATCCTGGTGAGAGACTTCAACAGGAAGTTCTAGACCCAGAGACCACACAAAAATATTCAAACTCACAGCATTATATACACTCCTATCGCGATGCCCCCGTCCCCTCCCCTTAGGTCCCATTTGAAAGGACTTCCGGGGGCACAATCTGTTCGATCCGCCTAGCCAGAATACACCATCCCTCCCCCTCAGTTACATTGTTTAGAACTTCCCTCTGCCATCCTTTTGTCTTGTTAAGTGTGTCTTCTACCTAAGCCTCCTGGAATCTAGTGTCTACCTGCAGGGCTTGGCTAATCTTTCTATTGTTAATCAATTGTGACTGTTTTATTTTTAAACTTCTTTCTTTCTCACAGTGGTATATAAGTCTAAGTGCTAGTGCTAAGAGGGGGAATATAAAAGTTAAAAAATTGGATGAGAACAAGGTAGCAACAAGCAATGGCTGTAGAGAAGGCAACATTTGAATTGCAAAGCTGTGCTAACTAGAGTCACAATACCACCTTTAGGTCTCCCACTTGCCTTGCTTGGGATAGCCAAGATCGTTTTAACCCAGTAACCATCTAGCTCCACCTCTGAAGAAACCCAGGTTTCCTGTAGGAAAAGGACATCAAAGTGTGATATATAGTAAAAAAAAATTGGTCTTGTTGATATTTCAGATTAGAAGTGAAAGAGGATAGTCTTTTGAGGGATGTCAGGAGATATGATTTTTACAAGAGGAAGCTATGAGGTTATTATGTTAGGAGGGGAGATCATTATCAACAATTATAGCCTCCTCTAAAGGGTAGTTTGTCTCATATAAGTCCTGGGGGTCTTGTTCAGAATGGATGACATTGACACCATTTAATGATGCTTGCCTTATGGGACCTCCTCCAGAGGTGTTGGGCAAAGAGATGTTAGGTCATATTGCATTCCACTCTGTGCCATTGGTGTTGGCAAGAGTAGCCTGCCCATCCCCTGATTTGTTGCTAGAGGCCCTATGGAATATCCTCAGGTAGGAAATAACTCCTCCTCAATTGTTGCTGCTACTAATACTATTTTATTAGTTTTTGAAGACATAATAGAATTGACGATTAGGTTTACAAAGTAAATATATACATTTACAATTAGGACTACTGTGAAAAAAATGAGACTGCTTTTTTAAAAAAGTAATTAAAAATATTCAAAGCAAAAGAGACAAACGTTTCTAAACAGAAAGGGGAAAAATAATAAAAAACAACTGGCCCCCAAAGAAAAATTCAGTAACGATACAAAGCACTTTGCTTTTCATGATTTCCTAATATTTTTCTCTGTCAGAACCTACTTTTTATGTGTCTATAGATCATTGCTATTCAGCTTTTAGACAACACATGAAACCTAAACAATAGAGAACCAGTTTGGTCTACTGGTTAAGACATCAGGCTAGAAAACAGGAGATTGAGAATTCAAGTCCTACTTTAGCAATGACATTCATCTGAATGACTTTGGGCTAATCACCAGGAGACTGTGAGTTTCTAGTCCTGCCTTATGCATGAAAACCAGCTGGGGCCAGTCTCTCTTCTTAGCCCAAAGAGCTTTGGGAAAATAAGTGTAGGAAAGTGTGTTGGATATGTTCACTGCTTTAAGTTACTTGTAAAAGTAATAAAGACAGAATACAAATAAATATAGTGAATATAATATAATAATATAATATAGTATAATATAGTGTAGTGTAGTGTAGTGTAGTGTAGTGTAGTGTAGTATAGTATAGTATAGTATAGCATAGTATAGTATAGTATAATATTGTATAATATAATATAATATAGTATAGTATAGTATAGTATAGTATAGTATAGTATAATAATATAATATAGTATAGTATAGTATGTTGTTGTTGTTGTTAATTGCGAAGTCATGTCCGACCCATCGCGACCCCATGGACAACGTTCCTCCAGGTCTTCCTGTCCTCTACCATTTTCTGGAGTCCATTTAAGTTCACACCTACTGCTTCAGTGACTCCATCCAGCCATCTCATTCTCTGTCATCCATAGTATAGTATAGTATTGTATAATATTGTATAATATAATATTGTATAATATAATATAGTATAATATAGTATAGTATAGTATAGTATAGTATAGTATAGTATAATATAATATAATATAATATAATATAATATAATATAATATAATATGGAATCAGATCGTCAGTTTACCTGCCTGTCAAAGTAAAGCCATTTAAAGTTGGGAAAAACAGCTTGTTACAACTTTTTTTTTGTTAGATCAAGATAACGTAGCACAGGTCTTGTAAGGCATGGGAGGGGTGGTAAGCCCAAGAGCAGGAGTCAGATCCAGGTCATCTTTAGATGTTCCTGGGGGTGGCTGGAAGTTAAACCTCTGAAGGAGGCAGGTAAATAAGAGGAAGAGTTCCATTTTGGCAAGGTTCTCACCAGCACATATTCTTTGACCTGGAAGAAAGCATACAGGACAAAAAAGATGGGGTTATTGGTTTCTTAAAGTACCGTAAATGCCGGTGTACAAGGCGACCCGGCGTATAAGACGACCCCCGTCTTTGGCGCCGATTTCAGCGCTCGCGGAAGTCGCCTTATATGCCGGCATTTACGGTATTTTATATGGCTTTTCATAGTTGAGTTACCTCAAAGGAATAATTATAATCTTAAATAAATAATGAACCTTCCTAACTATACTGCTGCACTGAAACTCTTTCAAGGATAGTTTTTCACACATATAGAGTGATGTTACCTGCAGAAAAAGGCATGAATGCATCTTTTTTCACAAATTTTCCTTCAGAGTCAAGAAAATGCTCAGGATAGAAGTCGTGAGGTTTCTCCCATTGGGATTCATCATGGAGCACAGAAGTGAGCAATGGAGCAATGTTCATGCCCTAAACAAAATATAAGAAAAGTGTTTTCCATTTAACACATTATTGTAGAAATTATTATAATGAAATTTTATGCCATTGTTTTAAAGGTAAATCAGTTGAAAACCTTAGTATAGTTAAAATCTTGTATAAGACATTTATCTTAATAACCAAAATTCTACCCAATATCCAACAATTTAATTTGTCCGAACTTGTCAAGTCCTTTTAAACCTCATTCCATATTTTAAAATAGTTTTTCTGAATCAACATGCAGTTCATATTGGTCAGTGTGACTTCTAAATATTTAACCCTTTTCTCTATTTTTTCATCCTTTGGTCTTATATTTTAGTCAACATCTTTCTGTTCTGTTGATTAATTTTAAAGCCAGCTAATATGCCCAAATGTTTCTTCATTATATGTTCTACACAGGGCTTTTTTTGTCATAGAATGCCCAGAACAGAGTTCCGGCACCTTTTTTGGATGGAACCTTATAGGGTAGGCAAGGTGGGTTGTATGACATGTGTGAGTTCCAGCCCCCTTTTTTAAAGAAAAAAAGCACTGGTTCTACAACATTCTGGGGTTCCTGTAGTATCAAAACTAGTAACATGTACTTTCTGGGATATATAAATAGACTTAATCCCTCCAAGATAATTATTCCCAAAGGTCATTATCTTCCACAATGCTAAACGTAAAATCTCAGTTCAAATTATCAAAGGCTTTCTCAGCATCCAAAAAGATTAGTGCTACTTGTTTCTCATTTGGTATTAGATATCCATTATATTGAAAACAGTTCTCATATTGTTCCTCAGTTGTCCTTTAGGTAGAAATCCACATTTATTATCATGAATAAAATACTGTAAGATCTGAAGTTAAATCTTGTTCTTCCTTTGGTAATAAGGCAAATCCATCAAATTATTTAATGGCAATAAAAGTTGATCTTCAGAATATAAATTGTGATATAAACATGACAGTCCATCTGGCTCTGGTGTCTTGCCTTTTTAAATTTTCTTTATAACATCCAATATTTTGAAGGTTATTACGGGACTGTTCATTATTTATTCCTGAGTTTATGTGAGTTTTTGTAAATCCTCTAAATCAGATATTCATCAATATTTTCCAATAGCTCTTCTTGCCTTTCATGTAAGTGTAGATAAAATCATGAAAGGATTTCTTTATACTAACATTATCTATCAATGTTGTATTGTTATCCTGAATCCTTAATATTGTTTTCTTTTCTTTCTGCTTTCTCAATTTATAAGCCAACAATTTCCTGACTTTTTAGGAAACTCAAAAATTTTCTGCTTCACATATTTTAATTTAGTTTCTATTTCTCTCATAGTTAACATAGATAGTTGTTATAAAAACTTAATTTGATATAAAATAGTGGAGTCTGTTGGGGCTTTCTATTATTCATCCTTTTTTAAAAAAGATCTTATAATCTACTGTGCATTTTTTGGGTGAATTATAGTGAACAAAATACCCTCAGCTATAGCCTTGCTGGGATCATAGGCTTTACCTCCGTATTTTTATCCAAATTATTATCAAAAACCTCATTAAGTTTTTTTTACAGTACTCCACAATCCATTCTTTTTTAAAAATTCCTTCAATCAATCTCCATCTAAAAGAAATTTATTTTATTTTAACTGTTAACTGTTGCAGTTAAAAAAGGTCTTTGGTAAAAAGTCCACCTAATCTATCTTATTGGCCCTTTGAAATCTATATTACATCAAATCTTGAAAAGGATTTATGTCTTTTTGAAAAAAAGTGTATCCTCTTGAATTTCCATTCTTTTGACTGCAACAGTCTATCTGTGCCAAATTCTCCCATCAAATTAAAAAAAAAGATAATTTGCCCTGATTAGGTTTAATGCTTTGACAGAGTCCCAAAGGTGCTTTCTTTCGAAAGGCAACTGGACTTTCTCGTTTTGCTAGAAGACATTTCACTTCTCATCCAAGAAGCTTCTTCAGTTTTGACTGAGTGGTAGAGAACGGAAAGAGGCTCAATGACTCTTACAAAGAGAGCTAACAACCACATGACTGCAAGGAAAATAAATCTTTCATGGTTGAAACTTTTTTAAATAAGAGAAATGGCAGTTACACATAATCACTATGTGTAATAGTATAGTATTAAGTATAATAAATGTATTTAAATACAGTATAGTATTATATACTTAAATATACTATGGTATTTATAATATAATAAATACTGAGCATGGAGAAATATACTGGTTCAAAAAAGTTTAAGGAAAAAACAAGCAATAGATTATTAGTTATATTCAGTGTTCAACAGGGCTTAAAGCTGCATTTTACATACAGGGAATCCTTGACTTACAACCAGTCAGTTAGCAACTGGTTGAGCTTACAACAGACCCTGAAAAACAATTCAGATTCAAACCCTCAATGTCCTGCCCCCCCCACCCATTATAGTCACATAGCCATATTTTGGGTACTTGGCAACCAGCCCATATTTGTGGTTGTTTGCAGCCTCCCATGATCATATGACTGCAATTTATATTTTTGCTAGAAACCAGCATTTACTTCCAGTTTCTGGTCAAAAATGTGCTATAGTGAATACTGGGTTCACTTAATGACTATGGTATTCACTTTATGACCACAATGTTTGCTTAATGACTGCCACAAAAAAGGTCATAAAATTAGGTGTGGTCACATAGTGATGTGCTTTACATCCATCATGACTTATGATTAAAACTGTGGGCTCAATTATGGTCATAAATTGTTTATACTGTACAAAGAAAGATTGGAACATTAACAATGGGATTATTTCACAGCAATCACCTTGGGAATGAAGAAACCTTTGAAAGTTATGTCCTTGGTGGTTGCATGGGGCAAATTGGTTGGAACAATATCAGCAAATCTTTGAATTTCATGAATTACTGCATTGGTGTAAGGCATTTTGACTCGGTCTTCTGTCTTTGGCTCACGAACCCCAATCTCTTTTGCAATTTCTTCTTGGACTTTCCCTGGGAGAATAGAATCACATCAAGACTATTCCATAATTTGAATTTTTTTCAAAAAGGAATTTATGCAAAAATTCTAAAGTACATTTATAGTACAGATCTGAAGATAATAATTTATGATATATGCTTGTAAATTTTATTTATGTACTTTCCCCCCTTTTATTCACTATATGACTTATTCTATGATTATGTCCATGCAGAAAAATGTTGATTAATCATTGATTATTTATAGTTTAAGTTATAGGAAGTATGAAATGAATGTATCATTCTTAGCAGAAAACTGTATTCAGTCTTAGCTCATATTCAGCAGTAATGGGAGGTGATATGTGCATAATGCTGGTGCAGCTTTCAGAAATCTTTGAAAGTACATGTGTGAACCCTTCATATGGCAGCATCTTAGATTCACTCTCATATCACAATAAGTAGGGGCAACTTATTCTTGCTTCCTACTCTCCCACCTGCTTTTTATTTGTCAAGTAATTATATATTTTTATTGAAATCCAGTCAAATGAAAATTGCTTACTCTGAACTTCTGGATACTTCATCATTAGGAGTATGGCCCAACACAAAGTGTTTGAAGTTGTATCCATGCCAGCAATAAATAGATTATCCACAAGAGCTATAAGGTTATCATTATGGAAATAGCTATTTGTTGACTTCTTATTCTCCTGAATATAAGAAATGGTATTTAGGAAATTCAATGTATTTCTATAATCTACATACATGAACAGATGTTCCAGTGGCTTCTAAATTTCCAGTGTCAGGAAATTTTGAGAGTTATAGTTCACAAAAACTGGAGGACAGTGTGTTGCTTATCTGCAACAATCTTAGCCTTTCCCCCTACTATTGATAATAATCCTATCAAATAATATGTTTATAGTGATCATGAGCATGATTAAATCTAAGCTCTAGATTTTTGCTTATATAAACAAACTAAAGCAGAATATAGGCATCCCGAATATGTCACACATGTACCTCCTACACTATGCTCCTTCCCAAGCCTCGACTCCCCCTCTCTTACACTCTTGTGCACCTCCATGTGCTCCTGAGCATCTTCCCCAAATCATGCCATGCTTTCCCCAAAATCCCATGCATATCCTCAGTCTCTCTCCATCTGACAGCAATCAGCCCAAGCCATTCTGTGCTTGCAGTGTTCTGCTCCAGCCACCTGTGTACCCCTACATGTCATGCCATACCTGGTAGCAGATACTTGCCACCTTTTCAGCTGCTTGGAAAGCTCCTGAGATGTGCAACCTCCTGCAGCTTCTACCCTGACTTTGGCTATAGGAAGCCATAGGACATTTTGAGGAAGTCCTCGCCTAACAACCACTTCAATTCAATTAAAAATGGCAATTGGAACTGCCGGGATATCCATTACCTAGCAATTAGGTTGTGCTTCACAACTATCACTCAGCAACAGAAATTACAGTCTGAATTGCTGTCATAATTCAAGGACTATCTGTATTGAGTTGCAGAAATAGTAGAGTGGCTGGCAAAATAGACTTTAAATTAGAGATTGTAGTTTGAGCTCCTACATGCAGCAAAACTGACCTTTGGTTGTGTTTGTGGCATGCTGACTAAAATGTACCCAAAGTGGCTGGTTTTGTGTTCTATGATTAGCAGGGAACCTTGAAACTTGTATCCTGCCACGAAGAATTATGTCATGGCCTTGACTGACAAAATATCCTGATGGATACTAGGGTTTATGAGCCCATCTCTTTATGGCCAGGGCTAAAGAAGACTGTGACTTGTGATAGTGAGAAACATATGGTAAAGACCATGAATTACTGAATGAATTGAAATAAAGAAAAATTAAAATGTTTCCTGTTTTGGAATTTAAGAGAAAATGGAAAAGGAAATTAATGTAAATGAAGATAGCTTGATCTTGTAGATTAGCATTTATTAATATATGCAGGTAAATTAAAATTAAGATTAATTACCATAGAAAGGGCAGAAATATATGTCAGGATACATGAACTCTTTTGCTGGGGCTATGTATGGAAATGCCTATGACTAGTGACTGTTGCACGTTATGTTCCAGTGAATGGTGAGAATGGAAGAACCAGGAATGAGTTTGGAGAAAAAATGTGATTAACTTCCCCCACCTTTCTCTGCCAGTTCTTCTCAATAAATGGCAGGTCAATGCTTTCTTTCATGAAGAATGATTTTTATTTTAACTAACAAGAAGAAGACAGACTTCAGGTTTCAGAGCTCACCTTTATTTTCCCATGGATTCCCTTAGATTACAGTTTCTAAAAAAGGGAGAATGGCTTTCCTCTTTTCCTACACTGATCAGTTTTTATATCAATAGGAATAATGCTCAACACATATGCCAACCTGTATCTTAATAATTAATATCCCAATATTTATACATAAAGATAAAAGGGTTGCTTCCCAAGGGCCCACTTCCCAAGGTAGAAGTGGTTCTACAGATAATCTTCGACTTATGACCAAAATTGGACATTGAGAAAAGTGATTGATAAGCGAGACTCCCATGCGACTGCTTTGCTCAACTGCTACGATATACCAGTGTTGCTTTTTACAGGGAAAAATTCCAGTTAGAGGTGTACAAGTATTGTAGTAGCTTTAATAGATATGCAAGGAATAAAGACATCACAAGAATAGTGAATTGGTTGGCCAGCACAGGAATTCAGGAAAATGTGGAGCTGCCAAATAATGGGAAATCTCATATCCTGGAGGTGTTTACAGCCCCTCTTTAATGTTGTTTCATAAAGTTTTAAATCAGTGTTTTAATCAGCCTTGGCTGTTTAATGGTGCCCATGCTGGTGTAGGTTATTAATGTTTATTATTTTTGTTTCAAGTTCATACTACATGAGAATGAAAAGATTACACAAAGTCCAAACTATACTCACATATCCATTCCTTGCTTTCACTCCTAGAAATAGTTTTCCTGGACATTTCTAAAGCAAGGATTTTCACCAGCCGCAAATCTTCTGGCACCAGCCAGAATATATTTAAAACATATGAAAGAAATAAAATCACCTATAATTCCTGGCATACTTAAAATGCTTTATTACCTCTTTCTGCTGAAGAAGAAATGCATCAATAAAACTCCTCTGGTTATTTTCATCAAATTCTTTGAGATTTTCAAGGAAAGTGGCTCGTAGGAAATCGTGGAATTCCTTTCGGTTCTTCATTATTTTCTTACGAGCACCCAAAAGGAATCCCAACTTGGGAAATACATTATACACCTGAAACAGTATAGAATAATAAGAGAAGTAGCAGATTAAGAGAGCTGAATACTATGAATACAGTATATTCTCTGGTAGACATCTCAAAGCATTTTTATCCAAATAGGTTTGCTCCACATTCTACAAAATCCTCCTCCTCCTCCTCCTCCTCCTCCTCATCAACAACAACAACAACAAAATACATGGGTGCTAGAGCTATGGTTAACAAAAATTTCTAATTCATTAGATCCAAATCTCATGAATTAACTTTTATAAACTGTAGGGATGAAGTTTTTCTTCATATGAAAGATTACATTACCAAAACACCAGGGGTTCCTGCAAGGTGTAAATTTTCTTTGATTAACTCCAGTAGTCTTAGAAGTGTAGCATCTTCATATTCAAATCTCTTGCCAAGTAAAAAAGAAACTATGATATTGGCAGTTGCAGCATTCAGAATTGTTGCTGGGTCAAATGGCTTTCCTGGTCATGAGCAATAAATTAAAACAGAATTGTGAAAGAATCCCAGGAATAACCTCACTCTTCATGACCTTAAGATTGAGGATAAGATTGTTTATACATAGCATTTATCATAGAAACTAATTTCTACTCTGCATAGAAGATAGTAGGAGAATGCAGATTTTATGAGCTAAAATGTATTGACAGTAACACAGAGAATAACTCTGTAACCCATCCTTTTGAGCCGGAAGGAGTTACACATTAATATTATACTAGAAATATGCATCGTTTTGAGTGAGAAGCAGTTACATTTCTGATGACAGGTAAAAAAGAGCAGCAGCAGTCTAGTCCCTATGTGGAATCTTGAATGGAAGAACAGCTAAGGATAGACCATGTTACTGGCAGCATGAAGAATAAAATGAGTAACCCCAAACTTTTAACATAGATCTAAGGCTTCAGAGCACAGTTACCCTCTCTATAGTGAAGGGTAGAGTCCCAGCTCTTTCCATCAGAGAGGAAGCGTTCTCACTTTTATCTACAGTTTGTTTCTGTAGATACAAATTCCTTGCGAAGCTTGAAATTGTTACAATAAGATGGTTTAAGGACCTAACTTCCCACCCTTGATTGCAGAGGTGAGTTAACAGAGTCATGTAATCTAGGATAGAGAGTGCCAGACCATGAAGATAAGTTGAAATTGTCAAAAGAGCTAATAAACACTAGTCTTATAAAGGATGTACATGTATTTTGTTATGTAAACTTTGATATATTTTTCAGAAGATTTTACATCCACTATTTTGTTACATTTTCTTAATGCAGATTCTACTACCTAATTCCTAAAACAGATGATGATCATGGCCAATGTATTTCCAAATACACATATGGAAATATTGCTGGAATCCAGAAAGTTTTGGCAAGTTTAATTCATCCTGATGATTTAATATTTATTAATTGCAAACAATGAATTGTTAATGTGAAAATGTAGTATTAAGGTAGAAGCTACCATAATAATTTCATTAAATACAGAGAAAGAAGTTGATAGTTTTTATTAGCCATATTCATTCCTCCTTCTTTCAAAATTTAGTACGTCTAACATGTTGGATCATAATAAGAGTTTATATATTGGTGATAGTTGCATATTATGTTCCATGTATTAAAGATAATGGAATTCTGAGCCAGAATTAAGAGGAAATTATGCAATTATCTCAATATATCTTGTGGTGTTAGGGAGAATGTTAAAGGACAGGAATGCCTGGGTGAGAATGAATGAGAGGGTACAGGAAATTGAATCACTTAGACAGCCAACAATTGGGTGAATGGTATTGATTTAATGCTTAGGTTTTTAACTTATTAATTTATTCTACTTAATTAGATAACATGAATATCACTGACCCAGAGCCTGGAGGAATAGTTAAGTTCAATTCCTAATACCTTTTCATATACAGAAGTAGTGTTCATATTGGAAACAATTTATCTTTCTATAATCTTCAATAGCTAATTTAGTATAACAATTTGTCATAAATCACACTTCTTGGCAATTTTTCTGAAAAGGTTCCTCTAGATATTCTATACATAGATTGTTCTGAAAGATAAGTGGTAAGTTTGTAGGAGGGAATACCAACTCACCTTCATAAGTCTCAAATGTTTTTGTCAAGACACTGCACTCTTCACTGATTTTGTCTTCAATAATTCTTTTGCCCATTCCATAATCCCGTAATGCAGATATTGAAAACCGCCGCATCACTCTCCAGTTCTCACCATGAGCAAGAATAACACCTGGAGAGGTAAATAAGAGGTTAAATGGGAAATAAGTTGAAGTTGAAGATCACTTTGAACCAGGAAAATTCCACCATTATAATGCATATGTCTGAAGAGTATCAAAAAATGAAGGGTATGGAAAGCATTTATTTACTTCCAGCATAGCAAATACAGTGTTCATGCTCTCATCAGATGGTTGTTTAAGTGTGAAGTTTAAAGTTTAAGCTGCCTATGATGAGTAAAGATTGCAGTCCAGCATGTAAAAATACCTTGGTGTCTCTTGCAAGGAGAAATAGGAGATAATCCAAATGGAGAAACATCCCCCCCCATTTCTTTCCTTAGACATTGGACCAGCTAATTCCAACATAGTGACTTGGCTGTGCAAATTCTCAGGTACCATAATTTGGGGCAACTAAAGAACAATGCATGCACAAAACAATGGGGTTTCCTGCACCCCAAATTTGCAAACAAGTAAAACAAACATGTTCAAGGGTTGGATTCTTATTGTTAGTAGAATTGTTCCTTACAGAGTTACCCTGTGGTAAGATGGGTGGCCATTAAATTTAATAAATAAAAATTGCCATATCTTTTGTTTTCTAGATGCCTCTGTTGGCACTGAGGGATTAAGTCAAGTCAATCTGTTGTGATTTCCAGAAGCTATCCAAGTTCTCTGATGTGTACATCTCTATGAAAACTTCAGGTGCAACATTCTACATGCAATCCTTTTTTATCAACTGTAAATAGTTCTGGTGAAAAGATTGCTATAAGGCAGGGGTAGTCAACCTTTTTATACCTACCGCCCACTTTTGTATCTCTGTTAGTAGTAAAATTTTCTAACCACCCACCGGTTCCACAGTAATGGTGATTTATAAAGTAGGGAAGTAACTTTACTTTATAAAATTTATAAAGCAGAGTTACAGCAAGTTGAAGCATATAATAATAATAACATTTCCAAATACTTTATGTCAGACTTTTGCTAAGTTTGACAGAATAAATCTTTATAAAACAACTTACTGTAGTTAAATCTATCTTTTTATTTATACTTTGCATACATAGAAGCATGAAGTCTGATGAAATTACATTTAATTAATTAAATTATTAATGAGATCCCTGATGCTGATGCTGCGAAACTAAATACTGGATATCTGGCTCAATTTTTGTAAGGAACAAACGAAGGTCTGCTCTTTCAGAAATATTCAGGCGGTTTCTTTCCTTGGTCATAATATGATTAATAGTACAAAGCCTGATTCCACAAGATATGAGGTAGGGAAAGGTATCAATAAACTGAATATCATTTTCCACATATTTGGATATAAGACAGGCATTTTTTTTACTTTGCCATAGGTTTTCATATCCACCACTATCGAATTTATGTTTACTTTCTTCATCATAATTTCTAACAGTTCTTCTTGGCAAGTTGTATCAGCCTCTTCAATATTTGCAGTAAAAGGATTTTTCATTCAGTCATACACCTTCAATTTCAAAATATCTTCAATGATTGGACATGTTTTTCCATGTCCAATTTAAGTTTGTTGAGGTGGCTACTGAATCTGTCAATTTCTCCCTGGAGTTACATCATCTTTTATAGATGATAACTCAGGAAACTGATGAAATTCTCTCTTCAATAGATTATAATGAAGTAGTTCAGGTTTGTCAATAAATAATGACACAATACTTTGGCAACCTATAAGAGTTTTATTAGCTCCTTGAAGCTGCAAATTTACATCATGAAATCTCTTGAAAATATTTGCCAAATAAAAGGCATCATTCTTTACTGTTTTTAACTATGGGCATATTGGTCTCATTATTACTTTCAAAAAATTGTATGACTCTATCATATAATGTTACAAAATGAGCCAAAGATGTACTCTTTGACAGCCACTGAACTTCTGTGTGCAAAAGTAACATAATAAAATCTTCATTATTGTCCTGGCAAAGCTGTCAAAACATTCTATCATTTTTTTGCATTGGATTTGATCTTGTTTATGGCTTGAATTATTATAGTTAATGATGAATGGAGACTTGTACTTAGATGTTTTCCTACAAGACGTTGTCTGTGCACCACACAATGAATACATAAAACATTTGGCACTTTTTCCTTCAAATAAGCAACAAATCCATGATAGCGACCTACCATTGATGGTGCTCCATCAGTAGCACATGCAACAATATTATTCAAAGGAATATTATTTTTTATAAAGTATGATTTCACAGTATTAAATATAGATAATCCTCTTGTATATGTAATGAGATTTATTGCGAATAGCATTTCTTCTCATAATGTACTGTTTTCATCAAATATATGCCATCCATAAAGCATTATTATCTGCAATGGTAGACTCATCCAATTGCATGGAAAATGAAGAGTTTTGGAGAATACTTATCAGTTTTTTTTTTTAACATTAACTGCCATTTCTTCAATTCATCGCTTTACTGTGCTATCACTTAGGGGCAATATTTTTAAAATTACTGTTGAGATAAATTCTTTTATAGAGGGTATTATTACAGTTTCTCCAATATTATAGCTTTTACCACTTTTTGCAATTAATTGTGAAATGCGGTAAGCGGCAATTAATCCATCTTTGTTCGCTGCATGTTGTTTCTTAAATGATGCAACGATTGTTGAACAATTTTGAAATTTTTTATATATTTCCTGAAAATATTCAATGGGCTTGTCCTTATCATTTGGATGTTTTGTAGAAAGATGTTCTTGCAATCGACTTGGCTTCATTGCCTCATTGGATAATGTTTTATGACACAATAAACACAATGGATATTGTTTAGTTACAACAGATTCTATGAAACCCATCTTCAGATACTTTGGCAAATAGCCATGAGCGTATTTCTTTTTTTGAGACATGGACTCACAATATTTTGTTTGAAGCTGTAGGCATGTAATCACTCTCACAAATCTAACTGCGTACTGACCAGTGCGACCGCAAACAAAAGAGCCTGTGCCATGTATCGTCGTCTGTGCATGCCTCTCTCGTGGATTGGGTTTGGGGAGGCGCCAGCTATCAGCTCTGCTTGTCTGTTACAGCTGGGTGATGTGGGGGGAGATGAGCGAGCTATCCTGAAACGAGGCTCTTTTGTTTGCGGTCGCACTATAGCACCATTTAGTTTCACTTACGTAATGTGAACTAAACTTATGTGCAGGCGATACAAATAGTATATTTTCAGAAATTTAAATTGTCACAGGAAATTTTATGAAAACCTAATGAAAATGTTTTTAAATAATGCTATGAAAATTTTTTAAAAAGTCAATTAAATTAAAAAAAGGAAAGTGCTTCAGTATCGGACAAAACCCCTACCATGAAAGCTAGAATGCCCACTAGTGGGCGGTAGGGACCAGGTTGACTACCACTGCATAAGGCATGGTTGCTAAACAAACCAGGTGAAACACAGGGAGGGAAAAGGGAGGGAAGAAGAGAGAGAGGGAGAATTACATGTACATAATATTGATTAGAGCTTTGCAAGGAGTGTCAACTATGATCCAGAATGAAATAACTTACCAAAACCCTTTGCATAATCCTCAAAAATGGGAACAGAGGCTCTCTCTGCAAATGCCTCTGCTTGGTTGACCAAAGCCTCTTTCACTGTCTCATAGCCAGTCAGCACCACCGTTTCTTGGCATCCCATTTGAAGACGGAAAACGGGACCATATACTTTTGACAACTGGAATTCAGCAGATGAAAAATGAGAGACAATTTTGATCAACAATTAGACTCACATAAGGAAAATTCTGTTACAAGTCATGTCTCATAAATCCAAGGTTGAAGTGATTTTTTTCTCTTTCTTTTATGTTATAAGTTATTATACTTCTATTTAACAAGCTATTTAACAAATACTATTGCCCATTGGATACTCAGGTCAGAACTTGGTCAAGTTTTTGAAAATTTTAAAGAAGTTAGCTATGCAGGAAGAACATTTTCAATAATAATATTTTCTGATATATTCATTTCTATCTCCTAAAGGAGGAAAAGCCTGTCTTCCAAGCTACAGAGCTGTTTTTCAAGAACTGTATTTTCATTACATTATTAATCATTTATGTTGGATTTGATGTGATATGTTATTTTCCTCAGCTGATGCAAAACCCTCTCTCCTATCTTTCATTGTCACTGAAGGTTGTCAGTGTACTGTTTTAATTCTAGAGGACAGGACACGGTTGGTAGAGGTCTTCCAATCAAAATGGTTTGGAAGAATTAGTTACTTACAACAAAAACAGGGATGCACTTAAAAATTACATGGAGTACTTTATCAACATATTTGCTTCTGCTTGATACATTGTTCCCTACTCCTTCTCTCCCAGTAATCCTGTTTACAAATGTCTTAATTTCTGCTGCAGGAATGGGAACTTTAAACTAGCTCAAATGTTCAGCAATGAATTGAATATTATCAGTGGATGAAGGATTTTTTTAAATGCAGTCTGTAATGACACCGTTTATCACATATTCTCCCATTTAGCAGTCTGAAATATGATAGATTAATGTACATAATAGGGACAGCCTCATCTGCTTCTATATAAATGCAACAGCTTTAAATTTATTTTATAAACAATATAAAATATCAGAAATTAAAAGAATCTAGTGCAAAAACCCTTGCAGTTATTTTAAAAATACTTTATAAAGACACCGGAGATTTCCATCTTTTAAACAAATATTTCATACACTTTTGTAAAAATTTCAAAACTTTATAACAGGCCACAAATGAAATAGAGCAAATCCTTGGTGGTGGTGGTGGTGGGGGGAGGGACATTTCTAATCCTTTAATTCTTTGAATCTTGCAGTATTTAAACTGGGATTAAAATCCTGTAAATAAGGTTCAATATTATGTTTTTCACTCAGCTATTTTGGAAAAATTCTCTGGAGCAGGAAATACAGCAGAAGGTTTTGAACAATGGACATTTAACTAAGAATATATCTTCTTAAAATATGTTAATCTATAAATTATTATATTAATACACATATTAGTGTAACAATATTTATATTTTACTTCCTCTACACAGTCATAGGCAATTTTAACCATGTGTTCAAGTTTGAGATAAATCTAGAGAAATGTGTATTCTATTAACTTTTTTTTGAATAATCTTCGCAGCATGTATAAACTCAAGTCAATGTCATTTTTACAGACTTCCATAGACTCCTTAGAACCAGCAAGCAGCATACCGATCTTATTCCGGTTAACTGGATAACCTGGTAAATTGCTAAACTTTTATATCAGCATCAATACACTTTAGCAAACAACATTCATAATTGTTAATCATCAGGTTTACCTTTATCATTGTCTTATAAGGCCTCTTGAAATCCATTATGTGCAGATTTCCCAAAATGGGTAGGGTCCTGGGTCCAGGTGGAAGATTTTGGGAACTGTTACTCTGGGAATTACCCATTTTGAAAAGGAATAAAACTGTAAGAATGAATAGCAATAATAATAAAACAAATCCAGTCCACGCCATTTCCTTTCAGAAGCAGTTTTCAGTAACAGTTAGAATGAAATCTGCAAACAGAAATGATACAAACATGTATTTCAAACTATTGCCCTAAGCAGAGCCCAGTGCCTACTTCTACTGAATCTTCAGTCTGCCCCTTATGCTGAATCACTTCCAAACTTGCCTTGGCTACTTCCTACCTAGGAATTTGATCTGTATTTGATTGTTTACCACTCACTATGATACTTTCGTGGGTGGTGCCTATCCTTAAATGAAAACATTGCAAAACAGGTTTAAACTCATTTAAACTGCACTGCAATCCGATACTTGGAACATATTTTAATGAATACACACTGGATTATGAAATCCTGTTGCTTATTAACAATATTTCAGATAAGGAATCCGGAACATGGAATCCTTTAGTCCATTAATGTACTGGATCTAAAGAGCAACAGTGACATGATATTTTCACACAACTCTAGAGAATTTCCCATTTCTGCCCAATCAACTGAGAAGAAAGTGGGGACTTTCTTCCCATTTTCTGTTTGATCTGTTACTTCTGTCACACAGTTGTCTGAGATGTAATTTCTCTTTGCTTGTATTATTCTGATATAAAGGTATTTTCTTAGATGTTTTGCCACGAAGCAAAATCCCAGTATTTGAATTACTGGCTTATGGGCATTTGCATAGTCATGGCCACTAAAGAGTGGTGATGCATGGTGCATCATCATAAATGGCCCCTTTAGAGAATTAAATTCTTCAAGCATCTGCATAGAAGCAATTAACTCCTTGTGTCCATCTTATGTGTACTTTCAATAAGCTTTGGAAAATATTCTAGATGGGGTCAATTATATGGATTGGTTTTGCTTCCCTTGGATTTCTAGAGTTTTTTAAGGGCTATAGAATAGAATAAAAGAGGCATTATTTTCATTTTAAAGCTAATCTGATTGATTGATTGATTAAAGGTAATATTCTGTCTATCAAGAATATGTTCTAGCCAATTTACAGATAAAAAGAAATGAAAAGAGAAGCACTTTTGCTATTTCGGCTCCTCTCCCCAAACGTGAAGAACACTTTGCAATAGTAGTTGAGATTCAAATTTTTTTTTTTTTTTTTTGGTTGAAAGAGATTATTTTAAATTGATTTCAACAAGGACTGTTTCATGGCTGAACGTCATTAGTTACTATTGATCTATAGATGCAAATTGTGAGAGAGGAATTCATCCTTGTTGGTTCTATTGTGTTTCTTAATATATTCGAATATGCTAGGCCAGAATTTTATTTATATGTTTATTCATTCATTTGTAATCCACTGAACTTCAAAAATACTTTCCGATTGCACTGCATGGCATTTTTTGTGAGACTTCATTCTTATCTGCAATGAAAGTTTGAATGTAGCCAATTGATATTAGTGACCGTTCTGCCAACTCAGACTGAAATAATGAACTGGGAGCTGAATAGTTTAGAAAACCATCCTTTCCTGCTGAGCCCAAATGTGAAGCCTAATGGATGTGATGCAGGAAGCACTGAGGATAACACTCAATGAATGGAACATCATCAAGATGATGATACATTCAGCCAGTATTCTAACTATGCCTATATTTTTGAACTAAATGTGATTATTAATTCTATAAATTAACGAAAAGTGTAGACTGAAGACATTTACAACTTCAATATAATGTATAATACCTTGTTCCTATCAAAATATTTATATTTGCAAAATTGTTTATCAATAGATTGTAAAGTCCCATTACATAAGGACATAAACAATATTCTGACAGTGTCAGATCCCTACCATTCTGGAAGGAGGGGGAGAGTACGATTGGGGGTTGAGGATGTTTCTACTTTGTTTTTCCTTTTTGCTCTTTCACTTTGATGTATCTGCATGGGAATTTGTGAGGGGGAAATAAGCCCTTAGGGCCATCTGGTTTGACTCTTTCCAGCTAACTCCTGCCTGCTAATAAGGTCGCAGAGCCAGAGAATGACTCATCCCCTTTTTGGCTTGAAATTCTCACAACAACCTCATGCCAGTGGATTGGCTCCTGATGGATGGGGTTTGGACAATGGGAAATTTAACATTTCATGTGGGAACTTCAGAGTCCACCTGACTTCTCTACAATCACTTTCTCTCAGTAAAAGATTCTTCTGAAATAATGCTTGTTTCAAGAGTCATGCTTTCCTGATTGGATAGCTGATGCAGGACCTTACATTAGGCAGAATTCAATCCAGAGAGGTACCTGCCCTACCATGGGGACCATGCAAATGATTTCTAACCACAGCAGTGACCAGGAGGAGGCTGAATGCTGGGGAGAAGCCTCTGCTAAGGCATACCCCAGCACAAGCTCCAACAGATGGATGGAGGAAGCTTCTAGCCTGGAGACTCATCAAACCTGAGATGGTCCATTGGTGTGGGGAAGAGAGATGACTGGGAGGGGAGAACCAAAGGCATCACCTTCATCTGAGGCAGTCCTCGACATGGATGGAGAGAGGAACTGGAGGTGATGGATGAGGATGAGGAGCAACGGGAAGAATCAGTCCACACTAACTTCCTCACGAATCAAGCAATGAGCTTCATGATGCAAGAGCTTTATAAAAAGCCCTGGAAGGAGATGAGTGGTTTGGCAGCCACAAAAATGTCTGCTCCAAGCAGGACGGGCTAGCCTGGCTAGGTGGGAAGTTATTTGTACCTGTCAGCCAGAGGCTAAAAACCATGCAAACCTGCCATGACTCAAAGTTGGCGGAGCACTTTGAGTTCATAAAAACCTTGCACCTCCTCAAGAGACAGTTATGGTGGCCATGACTCAAAAAGGACATTGAGAATTGTCTCCAGTTCTCCTATATGTGTGACCGCAAAATGAAGACAAGGGAAAACACCAAGGCTGCTTCAAATGATAGCTAAGCCATCAGCCCCTGGTGAGAGATCTCCATGGACTTTATTATGGAGCTTCTTGAAAGTGAGAGAAATACAGGTGCATTTTATCCCCTGCCAGAAGATCCCAATGGCCAACGGGATGGCAAAAATGTTCCTGCACCACATCTACCATCTACATGGAGTGCCTCAATGCATCCTCTCTGATAGGAGGGTCCAATTCACTTTCAAATTGTGGAAAGCTTTCTTAGGGACCAACCAAGGACTTAGTTCTAATCACTATCTACAAATGAATGGGGGGGGGGGGAACAGAATGAATTAACTCAGTTCTGGTGTTGCTCCATTAATACCAGCATTAGGCGGAGCTAAGTCCTTGGGAGGAGCCTATCATTTACAAGAATTTCCACCAAAACTTTGTGGTGAATTGCACCTCCTGTCCAAGATAATGTGCTTCAAGACCCCTTGTAGTTGATAGTTGTGTTGCACAAACATCTTGGCTAGGATCCGGGCTGAAGGAATCTTCAGACACACTATAAAGTGTGCTTGCTTTGGAAACAAGTTGATGACAGTTCAAATTACTGTGCTTCCAGCACTCTCAGGCAACTCCACAACAAAGTCCATGGATATCTCTTCCCACAGCTTAGCTGGGTTGGCTACTGACTGTAGCAAGCCTGGAGGCTTCCCAGGTAGGTGCTTCATGGAATCGCACATGGGGCAACTAGCCACATAGGCTTCTATGTCCTTTTTCATTTTTGGCCACCAAAACTGTCTTTTTACCAAATGAAAGGTTTTCATGAATCCAAAATGCCCTGTGGGTTTGGCATCATGGCTCCTCTGCAGTAACAAGGTTCTCTGACTGGCTGGGATGTACAATTTATTCCCCTAAGCCCTCATTTGACATCAGGTCATCTTTATGTTTCTGGCACCATTCATCCAACCCCAAGGCATCTTTTAACAGTTGCATCAATGACTCTCCTGCCAGTTGCAGAGAGGTTGTTCTCTGCTACCTCATAAGCACTGGCGCCATGAGTTGCCTGGATTGGATGATGGAGTTAACTAATTCCTCTTAGGCACTTCTGGTGAAAGGGCATCTTTTAGGAAGTTCTTCCTCCCCCCTCCCGGCAAGTAGTGAAGGGTGAAATTAAAGTGGTTAAAATACTGAGCCCACTGCACATACTTAGGAGATATCTTCCTTAGGGTCCTTAATGCCTCCAGGTTCTTATGGTCCATCCACACCTGGAAGGGAAACTTACTATCTTCCAAAACTGCCTTCAGGTCAGAAAAGCCCATTGGACAGCATAAGCCTTTTTATCCCAATGACCCAATGCCTCCCATCAGATCATCTTCCCATTTTTGTAGAAGACCAAGCCAGGCTTTTCATGGGTTGGAGTTCTCTCCCTTTCTCTGGATTGGCGAGAGACCTCTACGACCTGTCGTATTTGTCACCTATGATCCAGATGAAATGCCTTACCAAAGGTCCTCATAAAGAGGGATGAAGACTTTCTCTGCAAATGCATCAGCCTGGTTCACTAGAGCCTCTTTGACCATCTCATATCTAGTCATCACCACCATTTCTTGGAATCCCAGTCTGATGCGGAGAATGGGACCATATTCTTTTGACAACTGGAATTCAACAGATGAAAAACAAGAGAATATTTTGACCAATAATTAATAATTGATCTTGTGCAGAATTTTGTTTAAACTATCATGCCTCACAGTTCTAAGAATGAGATCATGTTATTTTTTTTTCTTTATGGCATATTATGAAGCTGTTAATTTTATGATTTTTAATTTAATTATATAGAACAAATCAAAATGATCCTTATGCAATATGAGGATTTTGCACACCAAGTGACCATGACAAACTGATAAATGTTTCTCATAAACATTCTCATAAAGGCTCAACTATGTAAGACTCTATATGAAGATGAAATCTATTCAAGAGATATAATTATATTCCAGTATTTTGCAAAGCTGCTTTGCAGCCTTTAGTGTCAGACGTACAGTTGAATTTTAGCTATAAAAGACTCTGTGTCAGAATCCAATTATATTTCATCTTTAATTATCAAATATAGAAACCCCCAATTCTGCCTCCTCTGGATTCTGCCATAAGAGGGAGAGAAGGGGGAGAACAAAGGGGCTTTATGGCCCTCACTTCCTTCACTAGACTTCTAAGGAGCTGAATGTGTTTATTGCAACCTCAAAGAGTTAGCACCAAAGAGCCTTACCATAACAAAGAAGGTTATTTACCTTTCATGTAGTTTATCTGAAGTCTCCATCCAGACAGAAGAAAGAAAAAAGGGGGTGGAATTGTGATACCTGAAACTATCACTGGAGGGGGGTGTGAT